ATTTTTTGGATTCCTTTTTCTTCTTGTTGCTCTGATTGGTCGTTTTTGCTTTCTTATGTTCCAAATCATTTATTTGATTCTTGGCTTTATCTATCCTAGTGTTGTTTTCTTGTAAATTGTTCTTTATTTCGATTAGTGTATCCTTCATTTCTGATTGGAATTTTTTATGCTGTTGAGATCCTCACTAAGTTCCTTGAACATCCTTATAACCAGTGTTTTGAACCCTGCATCTGACAGACCCTGATAGATTGCTTATCTCCCTTTTGTTTAGTTCTGATCTGTTCATTTGTGCCGTGTTTGTTTGTCTCCTCATTTTGGCAGCCTCCCTTGTATTTGTATCTATGTATTAGATAGAGCTACCTTGAATCCATGTCTTGGTAGTGTCACTTAATATAGTAGGTGTGCTGTAGGTTCCAGTGGCACAGCTTCCCTATCACCCAAGCTGGTACTTCAGATTCATCCTTTATGTGGGCTCAGTACACCCTCCTCTGTAGTTGAGCCTGATTGTTGTTGGCAGATCAATGGGAGGTAATTAACCCAGGCCAGTCAGCTGTAAGAACTGGCTGCAACCACTGACCAACACCTTATGCCCTCCATGGAGGATCAACTATGTAGGGGCGGGGTGGTGGTGCTCTGATGTGGTGTGTAGCTGCCCATTGGGTGCATAGGCTCTGGGGTTTCCCATGTGGTATAGGCCAGGGTCAGCCCCCACTTGTGTTTTGTCCTGGGCCACCCTGCATGAGCTATAAAGCAATCTGAGATGTCTGCTACTTGCACTGGGTTTACAGATTACCAGGAGAAGTCAAGCTGCGAATCTAGGCTGGCTGCTGCTAGTGCCTGGCTGCTAGTAACTGAGGCCAGTGGTTGCTTGTTTGATATGATTTAACAAGATGTGAAGCATGAGCGAAGACCAGTCATTCATATGGAAAAACAGTGGGGTGGAGTCTCAGGGGATCTCTAGGGCAGGGCAAATAAGTGTCAGCCATGATGATGGAGTCTCAGATGTGGCACCAGACTGCTGGCTCTGGGGGGAAGGTTCAGAAAAGGGCAATGGCCTCTGCTCTCCTTGATTCCAGATACTTGTTTCTCCCATGCCCTTCTGGTGCCTTTCACACTGTCACCCCATGGAGCTCAAGAGGGAGTGAGGCACAGTAGGTGAGGTCACACAGTGTGTGACCCTGGGCTGGGGGACCTGGCGTGGGGCTGGGACTCCTCACTTCCAAAATACTCCTCCCGAACCTTTATCCACCACGCATGGGTGTGGGACCAGCCTGTTCCCGCATCTATGCCCCTCTAACCGGTCTGGGTGGATATGGTCTCTTCAATTTTGTAGTTGTCAGACTTCCATTCAACTTGATTTCAGACAGTTCCGAGTGATGGCTGCTCTACACTTTAGTTGAAATGTCGATGTGATTGTGTGAGGAGGTGAGTCATGTCTGCCTATGCCACCATCTTGACCTCCCGGTCTCTTCTGATGTCTTTCCCCAGTTTCTCCCTTTGTTAGCATGTTTCTCTTTTTAAAAAAATCTATAGGGGCGTAATTGTAAAGTCACAATTAGGAATATGGCAGAATTTTTTTTAAACAGTAGGGGTGCCTCTCAAAGAAGAGAACTTGAGCAGGTATGTTACATGTAAGCCATTTTTACTGAAGTACGCGAGCAGAACCAGCCTCAAGGCTGTGTGATACCGCCTGGCTTTTGCAGAGTTCTTAAGCATCTTTGAGCAGGAAGAAAGTTTCTGATGACTGTGTTAGGAGGCAAGCCTGGTTGCAGGGTGCTTCTCTCTTCTACCATATTGTAGAAATCTTCAAATATATAAAGAAGCTGAACCTTGGCTCGTGTGGCTCAGTGAAATGAGCACCAGCCTGTGAATCAAAGGGTTGTTGGTTCGATTCCCAGTCAGGGCACACGCCTGGGTTGCAGACCAGGTTCCCCCAGTAGGGGGCACGTGAGAGGCAACCACACATTGATGTTTCTCTCCCTCTTTCTCCTGCCCTTCCCCTCTGTCAATAAACAAATAAATAAATAAAATCTTTAAAAAGAGTAATACATTTAGCTACCAGGCACCCATTACCCAGCCTCAGAAGCCTTCAGCTTTCTACCATTCATATTTCATTTGTCTCACTCATTTACTTTTTTCCCTGGAGTTTTTAAAAGTAATTTACATACATATCATTTCACAAGGCATTTTTCCCCCTCACTGGAGGATATTTTTTCATTGCTTTTAGAGAGAGAGGAAAGGGGGTGAGGGGAGAGAAACATCAATGTGAGAGAGAAACATCGATGGGTTGCCTCTTGCATACACCTCAGCTAGAGAGCAAACTCATAACCCAGGCATGTGCCTTGACTGGGAACTGAACCGGCAACCTTTCGGTTTGTGGGTGGGACAACACCCAACCAACTTCCTGTATGCCCATACTGACCAGGGTATACAAGAAGTTTTTATTGGATTGTGTACAGAAGAGAAATGCTTAGTTGTTAAAAACTACAAATGGATCCCTGGCTTTAGGCTGGGGGGTGGTATGAACACAGAACTCCCTCTCCACTGAGCCCAGGGTCAAGCCACTTACCAATGCAGCCAATAGGCCTGGAAGCTGTGCAAAGTGAGAGGGAGCCCCTGGCTCCAAGGTCCTCTGCTTGGGGTCTTTCTGAGAGAGAGAATAGTTGAGCCCTCTGGCAAAGGATAACAGAGTCTTTAAAATTATTTTTTAAGATATAATTTATTGAATGCTTAATTGTACACTAAATACTGTGCTAAATACTTCAGTGCTTGCAAATTACTGTGTAAAGTAGGTCTAGTTATTTCCCTTTTTTATAGAAGATGAAACTGCGACTCCTGGGATTTAGCAGTTTTCTTGAGTTCAAGTAACTTGCCCAACAGTTAGGAAGTGATGGGGCCAGGATTCAAGCAAGCCCAGGCTGTGGATCACCCCTCCGGGTACTGCTTCCTGCCCCAATCTTTGCTTCTTCTTGTAACCCCATAGGAGTTCTCTTCAGTGACACTGCCTGTCATGCTTATCAAAGTATAGTGGCCGGGGGGTTACTTTGTCTTTGTAGTGCCAATAATAAGGCTAAACAGTATCCATATTTATCACTGGTTCAGGAAGGATGTGATAAAGGGGAATGGAACAGAGTGGTGGAATGGGAAATGAGAGAAGAAAAATGATGCAAATGAAGTATTCTGACACTTTTTAATTGACCCTGTTCCTATGTTCTTGTTACTCTTTCATGATTTTCCTCCTTTGAAGTTGCTACTATTTTACCTAAGCAGGAATAAGCAGAAAGTAGGGAGCATGTGCTGTGATTTTTCCCTGGGTCCTTCAGTGCCCAGCCAGTCCCTGATGCCAGGGGCAATGGGCTTAGGTGCCATTCATCGGTACCCAGCCTTAAGTTGCCTAGGGTCCTTTTTGTGCCCCCCGTCCTCTTTTCACTTGGTAAGGCAGAAGGCAACTCTCCAGCTGTGTTCTGATCTCCCTGCCCCTGTAATTGAAATCTGCCAGGGTGCCGTGCCCTTGTCTTCTCTCCAGCACTCCACACACGGCACCAGATGTGCCCTGCTCTTCCTGTGTGATTTGCGAGGCCATTTGCTTGTTTCTCAGGCATTCCCTGAGAGGAGACCAGGTCAGAGTCCACGAGCCTTTTTTTAATAATCTTTTCCCTGTTTCTTTTCTAGTCTCCTTCCCACTTGTCTTCTTTTACTCTCTTGTCTTAAAATAGTGATTTGAGTGAAAGAGAGGCCAGCCTTAATTATAGAAAAGAAGGGACAAATTGCTGAGTTAACAGTCAGTGGTTCAGAGACCTCTCTGGATTAGGCTTGTAGCATTGTACCTGTGACAGTCATACATGTAACTTGATTTTGGTCTAGATGCTTTTTAAGGAGACTCACAGGATGGCGGGGCTGATTTGGGAATTAGTTAGTGGTAGAGAAAGGATCAGTGACCAAGAATTAAACCTGGCTTCCCACTTACTATTTATTACCTGTGGCCTTAGCAAGACTCATATTAACTCTGGGTTTCTGTAAAATGGCTAGTTTTTAAAATCTCAGGTAGCTTAATCATTAACACCGAGATCATTGTAACCTATGATTAGAGAAGAGATAGGGAGAAACATTAGGCCCCTTTTCTTTTCTCTTTTCTCTTTTCTTTTTCTCTTCTCTTTTCTCTTCTCTTTTCTTCTCTTCTCTTCTTTTTCTTGAAACAAACACCAAGTTTATTCATTTCTTGCATTTGAAATCTCTCGATGATATATATCCTTTGCCTGAGACTCTTTGCCATAGTCCTTAACCAGCACACAGCTGTAGCCAGCCACTTTATGGGGTTTTCCCTCTCTGTCAACTTTGCAGAGGCCTACCCATTCCCCTAGTTTCTTACTGTCATCGACCTCAATTAGGTTGACACAAAGGGCCTCCACCAACTTGACATGCACAAGCTCATCACAGTTGGGTGCGAGCACACAAAGGCGGGCTTGGCGCTTGTCTAAGGATTTGGCATCTTTGCGAATTCCGCGCACTTGGCCATTGTGGATGAGGGTGGTTTTCAGCACCTGTTGTAAAGTCCATTACACCTCCGCCCGCCGTGCCTTCCTTTCCGTGGCAGTGGGTTATGGGTGGAGCTGAATCTTGAACGCACCCAAGCCTCTGCCTCCACACAACTCAGTGGATACAGGGAGAGCCTCTTTTCTTAATTGTAAGAATAGATTCTATTCCTCTCCCTTAGGTCCAGTGAAATTAGAGTCAGAGGCGCACTGTAAATCCCCTTCTAATCCTAGCAGTTTTGGTTACATGCTGACTTCATCTGTGTTATCTTTTAAGTAGAGAAAGGGGAGGTTGGAGGTTGGAAGTGGGATAAAGGATCATCTTGGACTTTTTCCCGACTTAGGGATGGGCGTGAGACCAGGGGCAAGGTCTTCAGGTTGTTGGGCAAGAAGGTTCTCTGTGTTCCTGTGCGATCTCGGCAGCTCCAGTTCCACAGTAACACTATTATGCCTTCCTTCTTTGTCTAGTACCTCAACATGCTAAGAACGTGTGAGGGCTACAATGAAATCATCTTCCCCCACTGTGCCTGTGACTCCAGGAGGAAGGGGCATGTTATCACAGCCATCAGCATCACGCACTTTAAACTTCATGCTTGCACTGAAGAAGGACAGCTGGAGGTGAGAGTTCAGCATGGGGCTGCGGCTAGGAACACTGGGGATACATTGTTACTCACTTGGTTTTAGTGTCTTACACGGGTGGAGGGAGTGGTTGGTGGTGGTGGAAGAATAATGGAGTCGAAACTGTTTTGACTGGGGTGGATAAATAGGCCCTGGATTTTCACTGACCCTCACCTTCACGTGTTACACTGACTTGTATTCTTCTGCACAGTCTTTTCCCCTAAATGATCAGATATCCCCACTCATTTCTCTTCTGCTGCTTGCTTCAGAACCATCTTACCTAAGTTCCCCAGCATTCCGAAATTTAACACTCCCGTTCTCGCTTGTTTAGAACCAGGTAATAGCATTTGAGTGGGATGAGATGCAGCGATGGGATACAGATGAAGAAGGAATGGCCTTTTGTTTTGAATATGCACGAGGAGAGAAGAAGCCTCGATGGGTTAAAATCTTCACACCATATGTGAGTAGTAGATGAGAAAGTGTGCTCAGGGAAAGTAGATTGGGCTTAAAGTTCTCCTTAAATGAAATGCTTCATTGGAGAGAGCTGCAGAGATAGCAGTGGTCGTGAAATGTAAACTGTTTGAGTTCTAGAGCCCCAGGTTCGTCCTGTCTTTCCTTTAGGCCTGGCTAGGATTGGCAATTTCCCATCCTGCTTGACTCACAGTTACCACTAGAAGGAGCCAGAGAATAGTAGATGAGCCAGGCCTGGGTTTTGTGGGGCTTGTCAGGGCTTTTTCTGAGCTGAGCAAGTGTGGAAGGTGGGATGGCTGGAGGGCAGAAGTTCAAAGGCATGGCCTGTCGTACCTGGTCCTGAGAAGTCAATGGGTGTTGCTATGTTGTTTTTCTTTCTTTTTTTTTTTTCCAGTTCAATTATATGCATGAATGCTTCGAGAGGGTATTCTGTGAGCTCAAGTGGAGAAAAGAGGTAATTCTAAACAATCCCGAATTGATTTTTTTCATCTTTCTTTGTTTTAAATGCATAGGCTGATGGCCAGTGACCTGGGACCCTCACCATCTCTGTCTTTCTGGGACTGTCAGTCAGGCTGGTTATCCCATGTGAGCCAGGGTGCTCCTCCAGAGAGGGTTAGCCTTTGGGTGCTGAACAGACGGTAAAAAGCCCTGCTTCTTCCCATGTCCGGAGGATGGCCTTTGGTGCCGTCTCTCGTGACTTCATGGGCCCTCCTCTGCCTGTTTTTATCAAATCACCCTTCGTGCTGTTCCTGGCCCAGAAAGGCAGCTGTCCTTGGTTTTAGCCGCTCTGACTGGATGAGTCACAACAGAGTCTGTCCAGGCTAACCGAGAACACGGGTGGGGGCGGGGCAGGTGTTTGCTCCTGCTTTACTGCTCTCTGTGTGTGTGTACGCTGGTACTGGAGCAGAATTTGGAAGCTTCTGAATAAGTACCTACTTAGTCTCAAAGAAAATGTTTCTGAGGTTCAGCAGGTGGAGCCAGGAACATGAGAATGTATATTCCTGGTGTAGCAGAAAGAACACTGGGCTCTGGGAACCAGACCTGGATTCTCTCCTGGCTTTTTTCTCTTGTGATTTTGGGTAAATCAGTCTCATGGGGGCCCAGTTTTCTTATCTTTTCTCGTATGTAAAACAGGACGACTGGGCCAGATGATGAATAGCCAAGGTCCCTTCCAGCTTGAAAAGGCCATGATTCTAGATGGGGAGTTGTACCAGGGGAAGCAGCCAGTCAGATCAGATCATCCAGTTGTATATTTTTTATTCTGTTTGAGCGGTTGTCTCCAGATGGGAGGCAGTGTGGACACCTGAGGCTTCCCCGTAACTCTTTCCTTTTTTTTCCTTTCAGAACATTTTCCAGATGGCAAGGTCACAGCAGAGGGATGTGGCCACCTAGCCGCTCCTTGTCCCCACCCCTTCTCTTCACCTCCATCCTCTTACCCCTTTTGTCTCCCACGTCAGAGTAACCATTAACACAAAAGAAGAAGGAAAAGGAAAAAAGTCACTATACTCAAAAGCCCTAAACTAAATATTATTAATAATCTTTCTGAATTTCATGTCTCTGGAATTGAGCCGGTAGAAAACAGCATTTTGGTCAGCACCAGGAGTCAACTGAGCTAAGATCGGAAAAGAAATAAGCCCAACCAACTCGCCAAAGGTATCTTTGTCCTTCCACCTGGGCCTCATGCCAGCAGACTCTCCTTGTACCATATTTTTAAAACTGGAACTATGAACTCCATCCGTTTGCACTGTTCAGACATATATATGTATGTATGTAAAAACTATATATATACAAATTAGCTGCACGTATATACATATATATTTCTTTTTAAATTTCATATTGATGGCAGTACCTTTTTTAGCTTGTGTTTTTACACACCTTTCACTAGAATTCATGACTTCTCTCTTGCTCTCTTTGTTTTGAAACAAACTTGAAAAAGGAAAAAAAAATACAGGGAAAATACCTCTCCTCATGAAGGACTCGAAAAGTTTACAATCTGCTTGGGTTTTTTCCCCCCTTTTTGTATTGAGTGAAGACTGTGGCTCATGGGTTACTGGAGAGTCTGAGGAGCAAGGAGCATAGTTTCTTTATCTTCCAAGGGACTGTTGGGGAGGAGAGGGGTGTGCCCCTCAAGGGCAACAGGGCTGCAGGGGCGGGCGAGTCTACACACTTGGTGTGGACTCTTAATTCCAAGACATTTTTCCTGGTCCACCTCTACCCCTCCCACTCATGGCGTTCTACCCACATTCCGCACTCTCCTGCTTCACTGGGACCCCTGTGTGCTTTCCCTCAACTGGCCTAGCATGTAGGGAGGGTGGGCTCAGGAGATCAATGCCACAGGAACCGGAAACATTTCATGGTCCTAATTTCCTATTTCCTTGTCTTTTCTGAAGCAGGGATAGTACTGGGGACCAGAGTTAAGGCTGACACCTTTAGGCACAAAGATTGGGCTTAGTTAGGGAAGGCAAAGAAGAAATTCCCCGTGTACATGAGCTTTTCCCTACTCAATTCGTGACCAATAACCACCCATAACTATTATATTCTCTGTGACTTCCTCGAACAGCTTGTAGGGAGGGATCTGATAGGATCCCAAGGCCTTGGGGAAACTTGGCATGGGTCAGTGGTCTGTGCCAGCAAAACCACAGCCCACCCAAGCCAGCTGAGGACCCAGGAAGGAGCATTAGGAATATGGTTGATTTGGGTTGGATCTCAACTTTTAATTAAAAGGAGACTGAAGGAAAACCTTTTGTCCCTTAAAGGGCTCCTCATCTGACCTGCAGTTAGACCTTCAGAGACCCGAGAGCTCACCCCAGGATTAGGGTCCAGAGCTGACCAGAGCTGACCAGAGCAGGGCAGCGTTCTCAGCCCCCAGGCTCTATATTTAGATTCTGCACTGGGGCCTCTGAGTCAGGCTCAGATGCATCTGAAACACATCTTTGAGCCTTCTTCTCTTTTTCCCTTCTCCACCTTCTAAACAAAAACCTCCACAGGGTGGCATCTTCTGTTTTGTCTAACTGGGAGGCAACCGTAGTTGGTTGTAGTCCACTCCACGGACCAGTGTTGGGGTGGTTGAAGTTTCTTTTTCTGTACCTTGTTTTTGCAGATCATTGTGAGGCCTCTTTCTCTCTCTCACTCTGTTATCGTGGCAGCTGCTTGCCCCAGGGGAGTGTAGGATCACTTAGGATATCCTGTCTTCTCTCTGCTTCTCTGAACCCAGGTGAAATCACAGAGTGCAAAATGCATGAATGCTGATTGTTTAAAGTTGCAGAGAATGACCCCGAACTTGAAGGCTTTGACACAGGATTAACTTCTTTTGGCTTAAACGAATTTTATAATGAGCCAAAGGACCCTGGAAAGAGGATATGATGATTTTCCACTCCAAAATGCTGAAGAGGCTTTTGACACCAGCTTTGTTCAAACTATAAAAAATAGCAGTAATTTGCCCCGTTCCCTCAGAGTGGGCTGGGAATGAACAAATCCAGGAGGCCCTGCGACAGCCCAAGTGCTGACCTCTGGATATGAGACATAGTGGGCATGCCCTTAGAAGGGAGGCCCCTTAGAGTGAATAGATGCTGCTTTGTCCCCTTTTGGCATAGAATTCACTTGGTGCTTTGGAGACTGGGTGAATGCCCCCTAGGTAGGTGCTCTATTGGCAGAATCTGTGTAGGAGCAGCCCCTACTTGAAGCTGTACCACTGACAGAGCACCCAGCTGCAGCAAGGTAGGGGGCGGCCCCAGGGGACAGCGCCTTCTCTCCCACCCGCAGCAGGCCTCCTGTGATGGGGCAGAGGCCTCGGGCTGTGGAGCTCCAGAGGATCCAGCTCTTCTTTGCATGAAGCAGTGTTGGTGTGACACTCCTTTCCCTCCTTACTCCACACTTCCCTTCTCTAATCCCTGCTACCTTTCTTAGTCCTGGGTTCTGCCCAGGGAGGCTTCAATTGCAGTTTGTCTCTGGGAAACGGAAGGGCTCTCCCTTCCCCCTGCCTTGCCCCAGCAGAGCCAGCAGAATTTCCCTGGTCTCCTATGGTCCTCCCCTCCACACTCAGTTTCAATCCTTTTTGGTAAAAGCTTCGAGTTTTTTATGGATCAGGAGAAAAATGCAGGCTCTGAGAAACCTGTCCCTGTGGAAAGGTTCCCTTAGGCCATGCTTTGGGCTCTTTGGTCTTTATACTTGTTTTCTGCTGTCCATTTTTCTGCCCTCCCCTTGCCCTAGGCCTAAGCTCAGCACTGGTGAGTGCTCAGGGCAGCTCCTAGGCCTGGACAGAGCTCTCAGGGAGGAATCAGATAAATGTTCAACACCCCTATGCTGGCCCATCTGGTTTTGTCCTTTAGTTACCCGGGCCAGTAGCTTTGGGTTATCCCCTCTTGCAGCTCCTGACCCAGTGCTTAGAGCAGCAGTATAGGGCATTGACAGGGGGTGACGCTGCTCTGTCATCTCAGAATTTGCCAACTTATGGGTCTGGCTCCTCAGAGGCAGTTTTCTTAAAAGGGACTGCATCCTGGGTGACCTGAACTCCAGACCTGGGGAGACTGCTGTGCCCTCCCTCCTCTCCATTGTGCTCTGGCTGGATTGATGCAGCAGTGGAAACCATTTAGCCTGTTGGACTCCCAACATGCCTTTGGGTTCTCTGCACCAGAGTCACTGTGTCACATTAACTTCCTTTTGGAGGGTGCAGGATGGGGTGGTTGAATGCTGAGAGAGAGAATAGAGGCGGTGGGTGTGCTTTAGGGCCCCATCTTCCAGTCCCACCTCCTATCTTCCTCTTCGAAACCTGAGCACATCATGCCAGGCCTCACCCACACCAGGACAGCAGCAGGTGTGTGGGAAGCTTAGGGCTCCGGCCGAAGAGGGGAGAGGTACTGGGTGAAGGCGCGTGGCCAACTGCTGAAGTTGGACACCAATTTTATATCATGCCCCCTTTTTAAGCCAGTGAGCTGGGCTTCAGTTTTCCCCAGGCCATGCACTCTTTTAATTTATTTGAGAGAAACTCTAATTGTATTTTCACTGCAGTATCTTGTATTTTTTATTTGTGATTTAAGAAATGTGAAGAGAAAATACACAGACACATAATGGCTAACAGTGTTTCTTTCATTCCTTGTTCTAGAGCTAACCACTCTAAAATTGTTTGGTAATGTCACTTAGTGTAATTAATTGTAACATATTCTTTTAAATAAATTGATTTATTGATGAAACTATTCTTTGGTTTCCTAGACTACAAGTCCTTTGGGTTGTGTGGGAAGAAGTGAAAAGGGACCTTTGAGATTTGCGTTAGAATGGTCAGTCTGAAAATGGGAAGGCACATTGAACCAGCTCTCCCAAGTAACTAGTGAGGCAGTCTGTGGGGGGCAGGCGATGGGGAAGGGTGAGAAAAGGAGAAGCTGGGAGGCCCGTGGTCTAACGTTCTATGTTCAGTGGCTCCTCTGAAGATTCCTCCTCTTCCCTCAGATCCCAGAGTTGATTGTGGCAGCCTGCACAAATCCTTGTTGGTTCTCAGGACTCCTCAGCGTTGTATGTAGAGCCTGGCAGAGTCCTTCGGACACATCTTCGTCCCCCAACCCCCAGCCACATGTATACACACTGTCATTTTTCAAATGGCTCAGGAGACGTCTCTCGAATCTGAACTGCAAGGCACGCATGACCCCTGGCACACACCAGCAGAGCACAGGCAGTCTGGCGGCGGTAGTGCCTCTGCTGCCCACACCCTGAGAATGAGGGTCACTCCCGTTCCTCACGTTCACAGAGCAACCTCGGGGGCTGCGGCCTGAGTACCTGCTCTTAAGAGTTTTACTCCTTTCTGTGCATTATTCGTTCTTGGGCCGAATCTGCTCTGGGAAAGCTCAGCACTTGTATTAGGTCAGACATTTTTATCATCTTTATAAACCTTTCTGTTTTTATTATTTTTATAACCCCTGACCGTGTACTTTTGCTCCTTGGTTGAAAACCATAGAGCAAGGATGAGTCTGACATTTTGTTTTGCAGTTTAGGGAGAGACACTGTTCTGGCTCTTACTCAGCCATCGATATTGAGTAATTGGAATCTGATAAATATTACCACCCTAATGGGGAAAATTTTTTTCTCTTCAAGAATCCGTAGAGAAGTAGAAAGTGAAACTCCGGATTTAGAGCTATGGAAGTTAACGTCAGTAAATGCTGATCTAGTGGGTCCACCAGGTGTGGGGCATTGTGTCAGATGCGCCACAGAGACAAAGCAGAGCCAGCAGTGTCCTGCCGGCCTTCAGATTTCACAAACGACCGCAGTCCGCAGCAGTGGGAGGTGTAAGTCCTGTGACGGCTAGAAAAGGGAGAGGGACCTCTGGAAGAGGGCAGTTAAGGAGACCATCAGGAAGAAGGTGGTGCTGAAGGTCAACCGTTTAGGTGCAGGGGCGTCCAGCCCACGGCTGTGGGCTGCATGCGACCCAGGATGGCTATGAATGTGGCCCAGCACAAAATCGTAAATTGACTTAAAACATTAGGAGACTTTTTGGTTTTCATTGGTGTTTGTGTATTTAATGTGTGGTCCAAGACAACTTCCAGTGTGGCCCAGAGACGCCAAAAGGTTGGACACCCCTAGGAGTGTGATCCAGTTTTCAGTGAGCAAGTGTTTAACAAATCTGATTGAGCCGTATGTGCCCGACGCCAGTCACTGGGAATGAAAGGGGGATCAGACTTGTCCAGATGAACACGGAAGAGTCCTGTTTGATTAGAACTTGGAGACCGTGTAATAATAAAATGGAAGATGAGGCTTTGAAGGCCCTTGACTGCCAGGGTGAAGTGCTCTACAAAAAAACAACAAAGGAATGGAGGGAAGAGGGAAAGGAACAGAGTTTTGTTTTTAATCAGCTGCCGTTTAGAAACATTGCTGTTTCGGAATATGCACAGAAGATCCGTTAGGAGACCGCTGTGAGTGCTGGAGGCGGCGATCATTGAAAGGAGGGAAATGGATGTGGGAAAAATTACAGAAGGTGAATCTCTTGTGATTTAATAACAAAGTTCATGTGAGAGGACTAAAAGACTCCCAAGGTTTCATGTGTAGGTGACAAAATATATAAGGGTTGGAACTTCAGGAGAGAAAATATTTTAGCTTTCGACCTGACAGGTCCATAATATGAGTTAGGCCCAGGCGAGAACTAGATGTCCAGAAGTTGTTTCTTAATCGTTTGCTGACACCCCCAGTGGTCTGGGCAGTTTCGGGTGATGGTGATGCAGCAGTGAACAGGCAGAGCAGGTAGCCAGTAACTATGTGTGAACGAATGTGTAGGAGATGATTGTTCTCCGTGGAGAACAGGCTGTAGGAGAGCAGGAGGGGGACGCAGAGACCGGTGAGGACACTGCAGGCCTCCGGGGGAGCGAGGGCAGACAGTGTTGGCGGCCGTGGAAGTGGACAGACGTGAGTAGGGAGAAGCAGTAGGGCTTTGCGGTTGGATTGGGGAGGAGACGTGAGAGAAAGGGTGTCATCAAAGCGTGGCTTGAGTTAGTGAGGAAAGCTGAAGGAGGAAGGTGCTTAAAACAGAGTTCAGGGGGAAAATTAGAGACATAGTTGGGAGTCCTTTTTATCAAGTAGTTGAGAGGATGCGATATACTTGTGGGGAACCCCGTTTATGGGCAGCAACAGGGAGGAAGCTGACCCCTCCCTGGGAGTCAGGGAGGGGAATCAACCAAAAAAGGTGCCTGGGAATGAGAATCTTCTAAGAACCAGGAGCTTGGATCAGGGCTATTCAAGCTCTCAGTTACGGAGAAGAGAATGAGGCTTGGCCATGGGTGGTGACTCCTTTGGTCACAATACAAGAAGCTGCGGCTGTGAAAGGCTTTGAAGTTTTAGCAGAACTGAAGACAAAGGCATCCCTGAAAGTCAGAGAGGCTGAGGTGCTCAAGCTACCGCGGGGGTGGGCCCGAAGGAACTGGGATTCCTTGCCTGACATTTGTACATTTTCGAGGCTCTGAACTGCAGATGGGGAACGGGAATGCCTGGAAGCAGTTTCCAGGGCTCCCTGCCCCGCCCACACTCTCATCTCCGTAGGCCCCTTGACTGAGGATATTTCTCTAGGTGCCTTTTTGTTTCTATAACTGGAAGGCTTCTCCAAGTCCCTACTATTAACCTGACAGCTCCACTCTTCTGCCTCAGGACTTACTTCCCTTCCCTCTTTATGCTGCCATTAACATTTGAGCAGTAACTTCATTATTTTAGGAGAAACTGGTGCTGAGTTTCATTTTGCTTTCATCATTTCCTATTTCTTCTGCTGTCCCATTTTATTACCGAGGCCTCTTCTGCTCAGAAGAGGTGTTAGTGAACTTCCATAGCTAACAGAGCTACCCAGCATACCCTTCCTACTATATTTAATCCAGTATGTTTGAAAAATGTGTTGATATAAGCAAGTTGGGAGCCTCCTTTTCTGTCTCAGATGGGCTCCTACATTCTGCTGGCAAAGGACCTGCAGGGGTGTCCAACCCTTCAGCGGCTCCACGCCACACTGAAAGGAGAGCTGTCTTGGGCCACACGTTAAATGCATTGCAACACATAATCACAAAAAAAATCTCATAATGTTTTAAGTACATTTATGATTATGTGTTGGGTCGTGTTCATAGCCATCCTTGGGCTGCATGTGGCCTGCGGGTCGCAGGTTGGCCACCCCTGCAAGAATCCCTGCCCAGAAGTTTTGTTTCCTCCAGAAGACTCCTCTGTGTCTTCCTCATCCCCATCACTCAACCTCAATTATCTGCTGCTTCTCTGGAGAAAAGCCGGCTGCAGCCTTGGTGGGAGGGGGACAGCCATGAGCAGGGACAGACCCTAAGTGTAGTCAGTCTTCTGTGTCTGTGGGAGGGGCCACCCGAGATCCGGGAGGGTGCAGGAGGGTGCCCAGGAGGAGGAAAAGGCCCAGGCTTGCTATATCCCGGTCCCCAGGTCCCGAGAGAAGCCCAGCCAGGAAATCATCCTGGGAGGTGCCCCTTGGGCTAGAATGCCCCTTCAGTCTTTCTGTCCTGACCTAGAAACTGTTACGAGGCCACAGTGAGACAGCGCAAGGGAAAAAGAACGATGTTGATACCGACTCCTGCTGTCCCCCGACACACACTGCCGTCTCTGACCACACACACAAACACCTGTATCTCCTTCTAATTAAGACTTCAGGCGCTGTGTACTTGGCTAAGATCCTAACTGGATTCCCTTCCTTCTGAGTAAGGTCCTGTCCCTGATCTCTACCTATCCAAGAGACTTTTCTTGCTAAAACAGAGTCCACAGATTGGTCTCTATAGTACTTCGTGTGTTGCTTCTCTTTTAAACTGTTTTTAGTTCTGGGCAGTTTAAGACCAAAGTATGGGGCTGAGATGGGATGGGTTGTGCTGATTGCAAAAACATCCTCTTACAAAACAGCTCTGGCCTGAGGCCAGATGGCTGCGGGAAGGTGAGCAGGTTTATAAGCAGGAACTTAATGAGGTGGGTAGCAGGTAGCTGCCTAGAAGCAGATGGCCTGTGTGCCGTGAAGTCGGAAAGACCACACCTGTGTGAGCCCCCACACCCAGCCCTAACGCAGTCACAGAGAAGAATCTAGGAGCTGGACGGACTTAGGGCTCATTTGGTCCACCTTCTGCTTGATGGGGTCACTGCTACAGCCTGCTTGATGCTTCTTGGTACCTTTGCCTCAAGTCAAAGAACAGGTAGTTGAACCTGTGAGAGGAGAGCATCATGGGATTGGGGATCTGGCACACTGGGTTGGACCCCTGCAACTTCGTGACTGCGGCTAAGGTGGTCACCCTCCAGAGCCTCCGTTTCCCTGTTAAAATTATTTCCTGCCTCACAGGGTTGATGAGAGGTTAAATGAAGGAATACCCGTTAAGAGTAAATGCTTAGTAAAGGTGGTAGTGCAGCTAGCTCCTGGTGTCCCCACTGGCCAGGACAGGGGCAGCTCACCCCCGTGAACAAGGGAGCAGTGGAGGTCAGCATGTGAGGCTGCACATCAGCCTTCAAAGGGACAGGGCTGGATACAGGACAGCCTGCTGGCCTCCTTTCCCTCCTTAGTGTCCAGCTCTGCAGGGTGTTGCAGAATTAAGCCCCACAGACGGCAAAAGAATGGGGTTGAGGCCTGGACACTGCTCAAAGGCAAGAGGTGGTCCTGCCTGGTAGTTTTCCCTCCCGAACCTCACTCGCCCTGACTGGTGTGGCTCAGTGGGTTGGGCGTTGTTCTGCAAAGCAAAAGGCTGCCAGCTTGATTGCCAGTCAGGGCACAAGCCTGGGTTGCAGGTTTGGTCACGCTGTGGGAGGCAACCATTCGATGTTTCACTCCCACATGGATGTTTCTCTCTTTCTCTCTTCCTCCCTCCCTTCCCCTCTCTCTAAAAATAAATAAAATCTTAAAAAAAAAACCAAAACCCTTGCTCTCTTCACCTCCCTCCTCCTCCCCGAGTGCACAGACCCCTACCCTCCGCCTTCCAGGACTCTTAATTGATGTTTTTAAATTTTTTCTTTATTTAGACAGAAAAGATGAACTCTTTAAAAGTAAAATGCAATAAATAAATAAGTTAAGCGTAGAGAAGTGTCTGAAACTGACTCCCCAGTCTCCCCGTACCCGCCCACCCCCACCCCATCTCTTTTCCCTAAAACCTCTTCCTAAAGAAAATGACAGGTAATAAACCCCTTTATCCCTCCCACTTTCCCCCCTCCCAAACACCCAGTTACCGCCCCCAAAGCAAAGGGAGAAATCAAGAGAGAAAAAATCCAAGGGAAACATTGTCTAAACTCCCAGAAAGAGAGATGGCAGCGTCCGGGCGGGCCGGGCTGGATAACGCACGGCTGGTGGTGGCATTTACGTGGAGGGGACCAGCAGAGACTGTAAACATTTTCAGGGGCTCGGGGAGGTCTTTTCCTCATGAAAGGAGGAGGGTCTCTGTAGCTGTCTGGCAGAGAGGCAGCAGCCCTCAGGGCTCCCCCACACCCTCCCTGGAGGGGCCCTTGGGGGAGGCAGTGAGCTTTAGGGCTGGGAGCCCAGGGTTCAGGGATATCCTACCTCTAGCTGAGGGTGGCAGGGAGTCTGAGAACCAGCTTCTGAGAACCCCCGAGTGTGGGGGAGAGGCTGGGAGGAGGGTGGGGGGCGGAGGGTGGGGGAGGCCTCTGCTGCCCTCCGGGGCTGCGCGGGTAGAACAGGCCCACAGGTGGGGAAGGCGGGCGAAAGCTGGGCGCAGAAGGCCCGTCAGACCAGCCCCAGCAGAAGGCAGATACCCTGGAGCCTTCGAGCCTGTTCCTTGCTCCCTCACAAAGGCCAAAAGGGCACCTGGGAGGAGACAGGCCCTTGAAGACAGGCAGGGTGGTGGGAGTGGGCCGGAGTCCTGTGCCCCAGAGCCATGAAGCAGCTTTTGCCCCAGAGCCCAACTGAGGCCCAGGGCAGATGTGCAGAAAGGGCTGGGCCAGGTGTGGGAAGAAGGGGTGAGAAGCCCCTTCCCGTGGTACCTCCAGACCTGTGAAGGAAGGAAACACGGGTGAAGCCGTGGGGAAGTCAGCAGCCGGTGCAGGTCCGGGCTCTGGGGAAGAGGCAGCTGGAGTGGCTCAGGAAGGCAGATCATGAGAAATGCCTCCGTCCAAACGGAACAATGCGACCCCTCAGCCCTCGGACAAGGGGCAGGGATGGAGGAGATGGGAGTGAGGATGGGTGATATGAGAAACCAAAGATATTAGGAAGGAAATATTCAAACAGCCCATGAGAAAAAGAAAGGCCAGAAGATGGAGACTAGAGGGGGAGAGAGGCAAAGAAATGAGACAGCGAACAGGCAGGCAGAGGGAACTCGGAGAGAGGAGGAGCGGGGTGCTGTGTCGGGATGGACTCTGAGGAGAGAGCAGGGGCATCCGCAAAGGGAGGGCCGAGCAGGCCAGGGAGAGCTCAGGGCTGGGCTGGGGCTGGAGTCTCACAGGTCAGACCCCTGGGCCCTAGGGAGTGCCCTCATTCCTCGTCGGAAAGGAACGAAGAAAGCCAGAGAGAAATGCACAGAACACAGACCACGGGCACCAACCACTACTAGCCAAGCACATCCCGCGAGCTGCCCCCGGCCCTGACCCTGGGCTGGGGGGTGCTTCCCTCCATAGCCCCCTCCCCAGATAACAAACAAGTGGCTCCAAAGACAACACGCTCGTTCCATGCAACTTACAGGGGCCCGGAGCAGGGGTCCAGGGATGGGGGCTTCGGCCGACAATGGACACGGGCCCTGGGCTGGGGGCCCCCAGGGTGGGGGGAGTTAAGCAGCCAGGATTGGGGGGAAAGGGGGAGAAACAGAAAATGTGGATATTGTTCTTGGGTTGTATTTTTTCAGGGGTTTGGTCCAAAGGAGATTACACATAAAAGTAACCAAAGCTCACAGCTCTAGGCCACGAGGCTGGGGTGGTGGCGGGCAGTGGGGTGGAGGGACCTGTTCAGTGCAAGTCACAGGCGGTCCAGCATTTCAGCCTCCTCCACCTGAGCCAAAGCTGCTCCGAGAGGCCTGAGGCTGGGGCTCCCCCCAGTCTGTTCTGTGCACTCTCCACTGTCCCATGGGTCCACTGCCGCATAAGAAGATCACCTGGAGTCCAGGCGCCAAGGACCTGATGTCCCTACTTCTCAGAATAGAGATTCCAGGAGCCAGGGATTCTGTGATGGTCCAGCAGCCTAAACCAGCCCTCTTAATCCCCAAACCCTCCCACTCCAACACCCCCCGCAAGAGAAAACCAGAGAGAGACACAGACATGGACACTGACGAGACAAATGAGACAGATGCTGGGGAAGGACTGGGGGGTGGACACAGATATGTAAACACTTGGCTCTCTCTGGGGTCGCGCTGTGTGGCGGGGGGAGGAGAAAAGACTTGGGTGGTGGGAAAACAACCAGAGTCAGGGCACCCTGAGGCTGGCGGAAGAGGGTGGAGGTAGTCCGAGTGCGGCCCTGGCTGCAGTGTGTGGAGGCTGGAGGTCACAGGACAGGAGCAGGACCCACCTGGGGGCCCTCAGTAGGGCCGGTTGGCATCCTTAGGCCGCTTCAGCTGGACTTTGAGGCGCTTCATGCCGATCTGGAAACCGTTCATGGCCTGAATGGCAGCCTGGGCGCTGGCTGGATTGTCGAAACTCACAAAGCCTGAGGTGACAGGGGCATAAGGCCAGCCCAGCCCCACCTCACTCTCCTGTGCACTTTGGTTCCCCAACACCACCCTACGGCCTGCAGGTCCCCAAAGGCCTAGAAAACTACCCAGCACCCAGCCAGCCTTCAGTAGTAGTTGCTGACTGACTCTTGGAGTGAGTGAATGCAGCCCGGCCACTCTCCCACCCGGGGTCACTCCTCTCAGCATCCTTCGAGGGGCAGCCCCTTCCTCAGCCTGGGTGGTTCTGACCTGCCTGTTGAAAACGCCACTTCCAGACCCTAAATGACCTCCGAAGCAGGGAGGACAAGAATGTTCCCCTTTTGCCCTGAAGCAGTCTTGCAGGCAAAGATCTGAAGACAACTGAGCCCGGCTCCTCAGCCTTCCTTTTGGAAACCAAACATCCCATTTTGGAGCCTCTTCCAGACGTCATGGAAGCATGGGTTTGACTGGTTTTTAAGGAGAAAAGATGGACCTGTGGTTTTCTGGAGGGGAGGTGGTTCTGGGCAGCAGCTGGTACAAGATATCAGGTGTGTTAAAGAAAAGGCCCTGGCTGGTTAGCTCAGTTGGTTAGAGCATTGTCCTGATGCACTAGGATTGCAGGTTCACCCCCTGTCAGGGCCCATACAAGAATCAAGCAATGAATGCATAAATAAGTGGAACAACAAATAGATGTCTGTCTCTCTCTCTCCCTCTCGGTCTCCCTCTCCCCCCCACCCCCCCACCCCGCCCCGAAATCTATAAATAAAGAGAAAGGAAAATATTTTTGTACTCTTGGACAATGTGGATTCCAAATACTGGGCACACTGCAACCGTAAGTGCCTTAAAGTGTATCAGACCTTGTTCTCATTTGGAGTTTGGCAGAAATGTGTCATGTCATATTTTATCCTTTAGGTCACCATAGTCTTACCAAAACACTTGCTCTGATTGGTGGCCCGGTCAACAAAGACTTTGGCTGAAATGACATGGCCAAAGGGGACGAACATCTGGAGGATCTCCGAGTCAGTGAACTCCTGGGGCAAGTGGTAGATGAAGATGTTGCAGCCATCAGGGCCTGGGTGGCAGCAGAGGCAAAAGTAAGAGCTGGGTGACTGGGGGGCAGACTTGAGGAGTAAGGGCTCCAGGGAAAGCTGGTCCTGGGAGGACCCTGCAATCCCGGCCCGTGACACGTGGGCCAGGGTGCCAGCCACCTTGATCCCACTCCCTTTCTTCCCCACCCAAGGGGTCAAAGCTGGACTTAGATCAGGCACAAGAGAGTCCCGAGCCCATGACAAGGGCACCCCAGTCCCCAAAGCCTCCCTGCTGGGCCCCAGGCCACACCTTCTCGTTGTTGCTGCTGCTGCTGTTGCTGCTGCTGCTGGGGGGGTGGTGGGGGCTGCTGGGCGACCAGGGCAGGAGGCTGCGGGAACGCAGGTGCAACCAGGCTGTAGGCTGCCGGGTAGGCTGCTGGGGTGGCAAGATAGAGAGCTACTGGGGCTCCTGAGACACCCACGGCCCCAGCCCTCCCCACCAGCCCTGCCCCCCCACCCCTGGCCCAGGCAGTGGAGTTGGCAGGGTTGAGAGATGTCAGAGAAGGAGCTAGCCCGGACCCAGCTTCCAGGCCTCTTTCCATGTTGCCACCCCTGCCTCCTGGTTGTGCCATCCCTCCCGCCTGGGCCAGGCGGGCTCCTCACCTGTATAGTGCTGCATCCCTGCATAGGCCTGCTGCAGGGGGTCCACCGGGGCCGCGGGACTCTGGGCTGGGGAGAGCAGCACCAACTGTGAGAGCAGAGGCTGGCAGGTGGGGAAGAGAGCCTCCTGTGGGCTCGGGTATGAGATGAGAGGGCAGACATGCACAGAGCCTGGCGTTAGTGAGACTTCGATCTGACTGGCTGTGCAACCCTGGACAAGTCCCTCTGCCTCTCTGTGTCTCAGCTCCCCTGGCTGAGAATGGGAAAGAACATCCCTGCCCAGGTGACAGAGCAGGAAAAAGCCTTATAACCCGAAGCCCGGAGACGGGAGGTGTGTCACCGCTGCCGGCAAGGGGAGTGGTGGCTGGAGGGTGGCTGGGAGAGGACTGGGCAGCAGAGAACCCCACCTGGGTAGGGGTGAACCCCGTTGGGATACAGAGCATCAGGGGCAGGCTGCCCGGTGGGCTGAGTGGGCACTGGGCTGTAGCCGCTGACACCCAGGGCAGCGGGGATTGCGGAGACAGGCGTGGCAGCGATGGCAGGAGGGGTGCTGGTTCCTGGGGAGGAGAAAGTGACAGAAACAGAGCAGAAGAGCCAACATACACACAAATGCAGAGAACCAGTCAGCAAGTCTTCAGGCCGGGGAAGGACACAGGCTACTTGCTGACCCCTGAGCTCCTCCTGGACCCCAAGGCTTCCCTGAACCATGCCCTGTGCCCCAGTCCCCACCCCACCATGCGGTAGCTCCCTGACCTGCCCCATCCCCACCAGCCCCGCCCCGCCCAGACCTTACCTGAGGATGGGGTGATGGGGGTGGCGATGAGGCCATTGGCATTGATGGCGGCCATGTGCTGCATCTGCACGGCAGCCATGGTGGCCATGGGGCTGAGGTAGGCACTGTGAGCCGCCACCAGGGCCGCCTGCTGCTGCATCAGCTGGGGGCAGGGCAAGAGAGGAGAGTGGGGCCAGGCCCCCTGGCGCCCTGGCCTCACTCCCTGTCCAACCCTGGGCCTTGGCATTGGGAGGGTGGGGGCAGGACCCAGGAGGCCAGGAGGAGAGAGGATGGGCTGGGCCAGCACCCTGGGGCAGTGCTCACGGCCTGGGTGTAGGCGCTGTAGGCTCCAAACTGGAGGGCGATGGGGCTGAACATGCCCAGCTGGGTGGCCACCTGCTGCATTCGGCGGAGACCTCGCTCCTTCTCTGTGTCAGCAAACTTCACCACCAGGCTGGACGAGGCACCCTGGGCACAGGCCCCAGAAGTGGACAGAGGGACAGAGGTGGGTCTCTCCTCCTCAGAGCCCTCGGGACCTGCCTCAAGTCCACCACTCAGGGCTTGGCCTCTGAGAGGACAGCCGTCAGTGTGGCCCTGTCAGATGGGTGGATCTGAATCTCTCCCTCCCCCTGCACCAGGATGTTCGAGAGACCAGAAAGAGCGGAGGAGTGTGAAGTCACGTGCTTGAAAAGAGAAGGGGCTCCTGGAAGCCAGAGAGCATGCCTGGCTTCTCCGTGAGGGTTTGGAACCAGGCGTTCTGCCCAGGGTGGGTCAGCCACAGAGAGTGTTTAATCTCAGACTGGTCATGCCTTGCTGCTACCCCACCCCTTACCTGGACTCCTGCCCCCACCCCCAGGCCTCACGCTCAGGGGAAGCAGCCTGAAATTTCAATACCAGCTCCCACCAAATAAACACCAAACTGGAACTATCTGCGAGGATAGTTGTAGAGCCTAGAATCTGGAATGCACTTCTCCGCCCGATGCTGCAAGCGCCTGCTCAGTCCCTGCTGGACCTCTGCTGGAGAGCCTCAAGCTGGCGGGCGCTACCTCCCTAGGAGCCAGCTAGTTGTGGTTTACATGCTTGTTCTCTGCCCCACAGGGACAGTCAGTTGGCCCACTGCTCATGGGTGGGGGCAGCAGAATAAATGTGCAGCGGGCATGTGGGGCCTCCAAGCAAGTGTCCTGACGCCTAGCCAATGGGGGTGGGGGTATGGGAAGGTGGAGAAGAGGTGGGAGACCAGAAGAGGGCTGAGGGATGGAGGAGGCAGGAGAGGAGGGTGAGGGCATTTGGACTGAGGGTGAGGACAGGGACAGGGGATAAGAGGTTGGGAGATGTTATTTGAAATGCGAAGGTGTCCCTAAGAGGTTGGATTCTTCTGCCAGAAAATTCTATCCAAATAAATTCACAGACCCTGTTGGGAATGGACTGCCCCTTCTGAGCCAGGCCTGGGGGTGGGCCAGGAGGGGCTGGAGAGGCCTGTGGGTGGGGGGAGCGGGCTCACCGGCAGGGTCCGGCTGCTGTGGAGGGTGTTGATAGCCGCCTGGGCCTCGGCGTGGGTCTGGAACTTCACAAAGGCGCAGCCTAGAGAATTCAAAGGAGAGGAGGAAAGGATGAGTGCTCACCTCTAAGTCCCGACAGTCCACACTACCCAAGAAATCCGTGCAGGGGCAGGAGGGCGAGGACCTAGGAGTGAGGAGGAGGTGCAGCGAGGGCTACCTTTGCTGGTGCCGTCAGGCCCCCGCAGCACAGTGCACTCATCTATGGTCCCAAAAGGCTCGAACATCTTCCGGACGTCCTCATCTGTCTGCTGCTTCCCGAGCATCCCCACAAAGAGCTTCCGGTCTTCTGGGGGATGGGGCACAGGAGGAAGGGCATGTTCAAGGCCTCCCGGCTGCTTGTCAGTCTGTCCCAGCTTGGGGTGGGCAGAGACCCCGCCCTCTACCTTTAGCTCTTCCCTGGAGCTCCAGACAAGCCCTTCACTCTGGGGACCAATGGCTTTTAGGTGTGAAGGAGGTGATGGTTGGGGGGTGGGTATCGTTACACAGAGGGCTCGTCCCAGCTCTGAAGGGCTCGCATTCCTCTCTGGGCCTCGGTTTTGCCATTCCCACGGTGGGCTGAAACACATCCCCTCTGGCCACACTGATGCCTGTGCCAACCTTGACTGGGAACCCTTCGGAATTCTGACTTTCTTCCTCAAGAAAGGCTGCCCCACAGCTACTCCATGCCCTGGGCTCGCAGGACGAGGGAAAGGGACTGAATCTAGAGGTATGGATCCTACCTCCACGGCTCTCGCTGTCAGCTGGCTTGACCTGGATTGGCCTGTTCATCTGAAGGAGAGAAGAGAAGGCAACGGCTGGGGACCTCCTCTGAGTACCCCAAGAGCCCTCCCTAGGCCAGGACCTGCAGAGAAGCAAGAGGGAGTAAACCCTGGGGCCAAGAGGTTTCTCTAGCCCTCTAAATATTTGGTGGGAAGGAAGGGAAGGGGCCTAAATTTGTTCAGGATCAAGACCAGTGAGGATCAGAGGCTGCGGAAGGAGAGGGTGTAAAGAAGGATGCTCATGGGGCATGGCACCAGGCTCGGGTGGGGCCCCAGATGACTTAGCCAGGAATAGGTGCTGCTCTCCTGAGGGCAAGAATGGACCTGGGTCCTGAGATAGAGCCCAACCAGTGGGCTATTCAACAAGAGTGGCCTGAATTCTTCTACACAGTAGGAGCGACAGAGGCCACCCATCACCAAGCGCCAAGAAAGACTTCAGACTGAGGGAGACCCCACAGATGCCCCAACTTCCTTCTGACCCCCAGAGGTGTGTCTGCCTCTCTTTCTGCCCCCCTACATCCCTTGACCCCAGGGGGAAGGCACTCGGGCAGCACAAAGGGAGCAGATGCCCAGTCTCCGTGGCAACGGGAGAATGCACGCCATGGCAACCGCCCACTCAGCCTGATTTATCCTTCCCCGTCGCCCTGGCGACCGTGGTGACGTCATCACTTCTGCTGCTCCACACACCCACAGGAGTGGGAAGGGGGGTGGGAACAGGGTATGCTGGGGGTGGAGGATTTGGTGGGGGCTGGGAGTGGGGGAGGGGCCCAGAAGAGCTTCCTGGAGGGAGGCATGCTGAGCTGGCCCTGTGGGGGGCCATACTGCCCCTTCTGCCTTCCTCCTCCAGATAAAATCCTTGGTGTCTCACAGCTGAGACAGCTCTGAGGAGGACTGCTGTCCCGTGCTCTTTCAAGATTCTCCCCGTTCCCGGAAGTCCTCCAGAGCTGTCCCCTCTCCCCGACTCCCGCGGCATCTCCCTTTTGTTCAGCCTCCAGTGGAAGCGCAGACGTGCCAGTCCCACTCTCCGCCCTGGCCGGAGGACTTGGGAGAGACTCCTGCAGGTTGATTTCCTTATCCCGGGCCGGGAGCACCTTAGGAGCTGGAGAGGGAGCGGACGGGTTCAGTCCTCCGTGTCTGAAAATGTTTTCCTGTTACGGACAGACCGGTGGCGCCACACCTGGTCACCCCTCATCCTGAGGTGAGGCAGTCCTAGTTCCGGTGACCAAAAACAAACGAACGAAAGAAACTGTTCATCTACACTCTGAGGGTAGAGCTTAGTTCCCCTCAGGGAAGGCACTGGACTCGAAGGGCTGCCCTGCCGCTCACTAGCCGGGTGACCGTGAACAAGTCATTTCTCTCGTCTGTGGAACAGCTCGGTCAGGTGGTCTTGGGCCAGGTTGCCCTCAGCTCTAGCATTCCGGCATGGAGAGCTGTGTGTCATCACGTAACCCAGAGAAGGGCAGAAATGGTAGTTCCTCCACCCCACACCGGGCCTTCTTCCTGGGTGTCACGTTATGCCAGTTGGTCTGGACTCTGCTGGTTGGGGATTCCCAGCCCTGGATCAGATCTAAGCCCCACCTCAACTGATGGGCCTCCCCTGCTCCCCCCATCTCTGGCCATGAGAGCAGCTGGTAGGGAAGGGGGCCACACAAATCCTCCCGCCGATCTCCTCCAGCTTTATCATCCACCAATCTGGGATTATCCCATCCGGGGTTCAATCTCCTCAGGAGAGAGTGTGTGATGTGTGTAGCAAGGAGTGGGGGCAGACACGCAGAGTCCTGGACTTGCACCCTCCTTCTGCTCCGTACTGTCACCCAAGCAAGCAGGAAGTCCCCTCACAGGCACCTCAGCACACGCGCACACACACACACACACACACACACACACAGGAGAATCAGAACCAGGGTCGCAGTGTCGGGGAATTCTCACGCTTGCCACTAACTCCTTCCCAAGAGGCCCCTGGGGATTTACTGTTCTAGCTGGGGATGGGGGACCTGGGGGCTGGAGAGAAAGGGTTCCTCCCCGCACAGGCTCCCAGGCCCAAAAATAGCACATCAATAAATACCCACAGCTGATACGGATTTGCACAAAGGCACACAAGAGTGTACAGGCCGCAGCGCAGACCACACTGACAGAAGGTTCCCCCACACTCCCTCCCAGACAGCCTCCCCTGGTGGCCCCCAGTGCCCCATTGCCAGCCTCCTCCTCTCGGCCTGGCACTTCCTGTGGGAAAGCTAGTCTTTGTTAGCTCAGCTCAGGCACACCTGCCCCCTCCCCTGAGTCCAGCTGGGCCCTGTTTACCTAGCAACCCAGCCTGGGTGCCTCTCTTCCCTAGCTACCACCCGCCAGGTGATAAGCCTTCCCTGAGGGCCTCCCAAAGAAGAAGGGGCTATTTATACCCCAACAAAGTATTACCGAGAACCCCCCTTACCAACAGGGTCACTTGTAAGGCCCCTGTCCTTCTCACCAATAGCAAAGACCCCACTTCCAGGAATAGCTCTTCTGTCTCCTGCGGGCACAGGCCTGGTGCCCCGCCCCTCCTGGCTCCAGACTCGCCCAGTGTCCCACACCACACACAGCCCTCTCCATGGGGCCACAGTCCGTGTGGCACCCAAGATAGGTGATGGGGGTCCTATGTCCCCGGAGTGGGATTTTGGCCCAAGTACAGAGGGGAAGGCAGGCCGGAGGGAGTCCCTCACACCACCACCTCCAGGAGGTCACACCCTGCTCACAGGAAGAGTCCAGGGACCTGTGGCAGAGCCACTTCTGGGGACTCTTAGGGGAGAGGACAGGAAGTGGAGCTTGACAGGCATAGGCCCAGCCCCCATCTTTTCTCTGTAGCCTGAAGTGTCACCCCAGTACGGTGGCACCTTCCAGGTTCTGGAGTGACAAAGATAGGGAGAAAGGTGAGAAGGCTGAATGACCCCATTAAAAAAGAATATGCAGTAGGAGGGCATGTGGATTGGACAGCAGGAAGAACTTTCAACACAACTGTGCAAGAGCTGGCACACTGTACACACACACTCACACGCACTCAACCACGCACACGCACACACTGTCTGAGGGGAAACAGTGATGCCAGGATGGCAGGTAAAGACCTGGGGACACAAAGGGCCACAGATATCTGCTCCCTAGACTGCCCTGGTCAGCCCCCCACGCCTACAGCAAGGGCCCCGCTTGGAGGACGGGACCCCTCCTTTCCTACTAGAGGTCCCTCTGCATCCTGTCCTCCAGGGCAAAGGCCAAAGCGGGGAAGACAGCCTCCCCTGGGAGCTCGGGGGTAGGCTAGGCAATCATTAACCGGGTGCCTTCTCCCTGGTTTCCTCTGGAAGGGGAGGCGGTGCCTTTCCACGCCCAGGATAGAGCTCAGCCTCAGCCACACGGGCAGCTGGAGGGGGACAGCCCCCAGCTGGCCCAGACGGCCGTGGGGCTCATGCCCATCCCCAGCTGCATCCTCCCTCACCCCTCTGGTTTCTGCAGGGGATCTGAAAAATGGGGAGATGACAGGAAGACAGAGAGCAGTGGAGAGAAAACTGTTGACTTGTGGGGGCCACCAGGGAGAAAAGGGGGAGAGAAGAAATTTGCGATGTGAAGCAATAGGAACCAGGCATCCCAGGGATGCGTGGGCCCACACCCACACACCTGACTGTCCGCTGCCCACACATGTGTGCGTGTGTGTGCACACGTGCTCCTGGGACTCCAAGCTTGCTAGCACACATGTATGGACCTTAACTCTGTGAGCAATGGCTGTTCTGGGCTGCCTCACCACCTTACAGGGGCCAGACAGTGGGCAGCAGTAGGGAGCTGGCTGTTGATCTGCTGCCCTAGTGGTACTCAGCTCCTCGGTTGAGGGCCACCAAGAGAAGTCGGGAGTGGTGGAAGGAGTTCTAATTTCCCTAGATCCCCCACCCTCTTTCCCCACCTCTTTTGTCGATTGCCTTCCCAGGGAGAGATGGAGAATCAACCCATTTTCCATTTCCTGCTGCGGGGAGGAGCAGGGGCTGGGACAGGTGTGTCTCCAGTGCCCAGGCGGTGCTTAGAAAACGTCTGATAAAAGGATGGAGGGAGTTAGCTCTCAGGAAGTACTTCCCGGGGTTCACTGTGCTAGTGACAACAGAAGAAGATAGAGAGCAAAAGTGAATGGCACGGCTTCCTTCCCAGGTGGTGCAACAGAGGTGGGGGCAGGTGTCTGAGATTCTTCATTCCTGCCCGTGCCAGCCCAGGCCTGGGGTGATCTGCAAGGCTGGCTGAGAGGAAGAGACCAAGAGCTCTGACCTTGTAGGTTTGAGGCCACACTTGGCGGGACAGGGCCTGATTCCCCACGAGGATGTGCTTGCCCCCAGGCTTTCTCCCAGCCCAGGCCCACACAGGCCCTGCTGCACCCTAATGCCCTATGGCTCTGTTCCCTTGCTCTTCTCTTCTCGGGTGACATGAGGTGAGCCTGCCCAAGCTCAGAAGCCAGCACAGAGATGCCAGGCCAGCAGGCCCCAGCTGACCATCTCGGGCAGCAGGCACTCCTCCTCCAGCTCACGGCCAAACTTCCCCCATAGCCAAAGAAGAGAGCCTGGTGCCTCCACTCACTCTGCCCTTCACTTGGTGTCCAAAGGCTTCTCCCCCGCCTCCCAATCAGCTAGTTCTCCCTCAAAGTGTTGCCCAAGGGCAGGTGGGGAATGGAGAGGGGGCTGCATCTGTGCCTTGCAAAGGTCACATTTCCTCCACTGACCACTTCTCTCCAGGTGAGAAGAAATGCATGCATCTGCAGCAAGAAAGAGGGGTCCTAGAAGGAGACAGGGACTTCCTGGTGATGAGATGGCAAATATACGCAGTGTCTTGGGAAGGTGTTGATCCCCCTGGCTCAACTAAGGCCCTTCTCAGCCCCCTGGCCCTGGATAGGCCGGGACTCACCCCTGGAAGCGTCTTCTGTTCGTGCAGGGCGCTCTGGGCCTTCAGGGCTGAATCGCGGGCACAGTATGTCAGGAAGGCACATCCTGAGGAGGGGCAGGGACAGAGAGACCCGGTGGGCAGTGAGTCCCAGGTCTCCCCTGCTTAAGAGGAACCCCCCACAGGAGGCTGAGGTCTGGGGAACTTGTTATTTCTTGCCACCTTCTACCTGCTGGGGTGGGGAAGTGTCTCAGAGAGGGGCGACCTTCTGCCCAGAGGATCTCTAGACTGATGAGCCTGGAGCTGAGACCCAGAGGCCAGGAGGCTTAACCGGTGGTGGTGATAGGAGCAGGAGAGCACTGGGGCTGCTGGGAGATGGGCTTTGTGTGGGGGGAGGAGAAGGGACATGTGACCGCCAGACAAGTGCATGTAGTGTGGGTTCCTCTCTTTCTTAGCTGATTTCCTTTCCTTTTTCTCTTTGCCTCCACCTCCCTCCATCTTGGTCATCATCACCCCTTTCCTCTCCTGTTTTCCCTATGTCCTCATCTCTCTGGGAGGCAGGTGGAAGGTCAAGAGTAGAATAGAGAAGGGAAAGGAAGAGCATCAGTGGAAGTCCCCATGGAGGAGAAGGCAGTGTGGCCCTTCTGACCCCAGTGCCTAGAACTCTCCAAGTCCTGACGCTGGGCCTGACCCTGCTGAGCCACTCAGCACTTGGACAGGTCCGAGGTGCATCCTCTCTTTGCCTCCAGCTCTTAACTTTCAAGTCCCCCACACTTCCCAGATCTTCTCCAATCTTTGTCCTTCACACCCTGCTTCCCAGGTGCCTCTCCTTAGTCCTGGAGCTACCCTGCCCAGTCCATGTGTACTCTTTCCCGCTGAGCGCCTGACCCTGTGTCCTGACCTCTGTCCCAATAGTGTCTGAGGCTACTAAGACTCTCAGTCTTGCACACACACCCATGGCGGCCCAGCTCCTTATCTCCCAAACCAGTCCTCTTGTTCCTCCGTCCTTCCCCGAGTTCATCCATGACCTCACCCCCTCATCTCTGGGAACCACATCTCTGCAGCCCCCTTGACAACTCCTCCCCAAAAGAAGCCTTCCTTAGTCCTCCATCTGGGTCCCCTGATCATCCTAGCTAAGTCCTATTCTAACTCCTCCACCACACTTCCGAGCCCAGAAACTCTTTTCCTTCTGGATTGGCCCTTTCCAGCCACTCCATCCCTCCAGCTACTTCCACCCTCCTCAAAGCCTCCCAGCCCCCCAGCCCCCACAGCCCCCCAGCCCGGTCCCTGAAGCCTCTCCAACTTGGCCTGACCCCTCACCCTTGTGCAGCCCGGTGTACTTGTCCTTGATGACAGTCAGCTCGAAGATCCGACCAAACTGTTCGAAGATGGGCTTCAGGTCCTTTTCCTCCAGATGCCTCGGGATCTGCCCCACAAACAGCTTGATGGCATCCGGCTCCTTCATTGGGGCGGCCCAGGAGGAGGGGCCGAGGGGAGCAGGGAGAGGCCCAAAGGCCAGGGGGAGCTTCCCAGCAAGTAGGCAAGTGGTGGGCGCCAGGGGCCCAGTGGGCCGGCTTTCCCTTGGGCCCCCACCACAGTGCTGAGCGGAGGGGCAGCTCTTCTCACACAAAGGAGGCCAGGGAGTTGAGGGTTAGGGGTCAAGGGTCTAGGCAGGCACTGTCAAGCCACCAGGGGGCATAGCCCAAACAAATGATCTCCTCCCAGAGGTTTGGCAAATATCCCAGGATGGGGGTCAGTGTGGCCAAGACCTGAAGGGTAGGGCGGTATCAGGGGCGCTGTGAACTGGGGCTGAGAGGAGAGCTGGAGGTCGGGGAAAGGGCCTGAGGAGGGCAATGGGGATGGAGGTTGAGGGGTTAGGGGCCTGATGTGGTTGTCAGCACGGAGGCGGGGGTGGGGGTGAGAGGGTGGGAGGTAGGGGGGCACTCCTGATGTGGGGCAGGTGGAGCTCTCGTTGGCTTCCCTGAGAGGACACCTCCCCTGTGGCTGATCCTTCTGCTGGGTCCGAAGATCCCTGATGCCCGTTGCTTGGTCTCTGATGGCGGCAGGGCTCCGGGGGTCCCTTCTGCCCTGCCGCCCCCCTTCAGGTCCTCCCCTCAGCCCCCCTCCCACCCCCACCCCTGTCCCCGGGCCTGGGCTGCTGCCGGCTGCTCCCGCTGCTGGGGCTGTCTGCTTTCCCGGTCACCTGGGTCCCGGAGCTCTGCTCTCCGGCCGCGCTCTCCTCAACAAAAACCTCCCCCCTCCACACCCCCCTCCCCACTCCCACCTTCTTTCCCCTGACATCAGTGATGTCAGTCTCAGGGGTAGAATACAAATTCCCTACCCTGGAGAGGGACGCACAATCCAGACAAGAGCCACGCCCTCTTCCTATCTCCTTCCTCCCTGACTCCCTTCCCGCCCCCAGAAGAGCAGCTGGTCCCGTTGATAAGAACCCCTCCCCCATCTTACTCCCCAGTCACGAGTTGGGCAAGGCACTAAGATGGAGAATTTATAGAGGAGCCCTAAGGTGGGGTTCATTGTTCCGGGGGCTGGAGCTGTCCCCGGTGCTGGAAGAGAAGACCCCATGAGAGGGGACCAGCGGGGAGGAGAAGAGGAGAGCCGGCATCTGGGGAGACTGAGACTGGGGAGTCAATGAAAGAACCCAGGGGAAGGAAAATAGCATAAGAACAGTTGGTCAGGGTGGGGGGTGGGGTGGAGGGATGTGTAACTGGGGAGGGAAGCAGGTCACCGAGCCCGGGGTGAGGGGGGAAGGGCAGAAAAGAGATAGAAAGGGTGCTGGCAGGGGGAGAGGCGAATGAGATGAATCCAGAGAGAGGACTGCATATTTTCCAGAAAAGGAACCAAGAAAAACTACATCTTGCTGGCATTTGCCGACGCCCCCTTCTCTCCCGCTGGGGGGTTTGTGTGTATAAGTGCGTGGGCAGGGAGGCGGTGGTGACGGTGGGGGCTCTCACTTGAAAGCTCCTTGAAGACCAGGACAACGTGTAATTCAGCATTTTACTGTTCACAGTGTCTAGCACAGTGTCTTGATTATACGTAGTAGGTGCTTAACAGATATTTTTTGAATAAACAAACGATTGATGCAAAGAACCTCAGACAGAGTAGAGTCTCAATTCCTTCAGATGGAAGAACCATAGCTGCCACGCTGTCCTTTAGGGCAAAGGAAGCCAAATTACTTATTTCTTTTCTCCCCGTTGTGCCCCTTTCCCCTTAGGTTCCTTGAGCCGGACTCTCTAATTGAGTCAGGTAGTGAAGAGGGGTGGGAGATGCACCTTTGGGGGCTGTTACTCCCCTATACAGTGATATTAGGGATGACTGGTTTCCTTCATAGTCTTGAGGGAGTCCAGCCCCTCCATGCACTGAGCCCACTCATCCCCTTCGATTCAGGGAGTATCTGCTGACGCCGAACCTCCTGAATGGGGCAGGAGGTTTGCCTGGCATCAGATGCTCCCCAACAGGGGTTTGAAAGCTTTTGTGGAACACACTGCCTTCTGTCATTCTCCGCTTCACCCCAGAGTGGGACTAATGTCTCCATAGCGATGCAGGTGTGTCTGAAAAGTGTCCCAACTACATCCCAGCAGCCCCCTCCTCAGCTGTCATGGCAAGCAGGCTCCTCTCCTGGAAGTCATATTAATGGCACTTGGATGGTATTTACTGTGCCCTAGGCATCGTTCCAACTGCTACGTATTTACTAACTTGTTTAAAGCTCAGCACCATCCTATGGCATAGGTTCAATTATTATGTCTAAATAAAGATGGGAAATCAAGGCACAGGGAATAAATGACTTGCCTAAGTTCATGCAGCTAGAAAGAGGTCTAGCTGACAGTGGAGCCAGGCAGCCCGGCTCCTGAGCCCATGCCTTTCTCTCTCACATCAAAAGCTCCTAGTGGGAATGGGGAGAGTGATTAAGCCTGTCCTTTGTTCTTCCTGCGACTTCATTTGAGCCCTGAATGAGAGATGTCCTTCTTTCCAATGTCCTTCTTTCTACTGCTTGGTTCACTATGACCACTTTCCATTCTTCCTTAATGTGGGTGTCTACAGCCTGAAGCCACATTCTGATAGGTGTGCATATTTGAGTATGCGTGTGTGTGTGGTCAACATGATTATACTTCATTGTATGGACACCCAGTTCCTCCTGGTAGGGTCCCCTAAGGTTGGGGTGGGGGGAGATGGTAGAGGACCCAGTGCTGGGTGGTCAGAGCATGCGATGACAGTGCCAGGGAATCGAGAGTGCAAACACATCTGGAAAGTAACTTTCCACTCACCTCCTTCACCCTCAGTGCATTTTTTCTTGCTTCTAATCTGATCTTGGTATTTATGGAGATGATAAACAGATCACGCCCTCTGAGGATGAAGCCCAGGAAGACCCCACTGCCCTTTTGATCTCATTACTCTGTGTCTTGTCAGCAGATCTGCCGCCCTGCTGCTCATTTAGGCTTGGGGCTAATCATATTAATTGAAATATTAAACATTCACCAAAATGAATTATAATGAACTCCCCTCAGTCCTCCTCCCAGTCAGCAATTGGGGAGTCAGCTGCTGGCAGCATAATGCCTCCGATCCTTCTCTTGGTTTGTGGTCAGATGGAAGATTTCAGTCTGAGAGGAGAGGCAGGGTTCAGGGGAGAAGAGGTGGGCACTCTCATCAGGCCCTCTTTGCTGGATGACGGTGGGCACATTTCTGTTTTCCTTCAGGCCATGAGAGAGGGGAACCCTGTGAGGCAAAGAGTGGGGGGAAACCCCCAGTGACTCAGAGGCTCATTCTGAGGAGCTGCTCTCCGGGAGGAAGTGAGGCTTCAAAGCCCTAGGTCCCCCAAGGCACTTTCTCTGTTCCCTGTCTTCAAGCTCATCCTCTTTCTTTTCCCTCTGTACTCAGTGCTAAGCTGCCCTACACAAAAAGATTATTTTTTTTTAAAGATTTTATTTATTTATTTTTAGAGAGGGAAGGGAGGGAGAAAGAGAGAGAGAGAGAAACATCAATGTGCAGTTGCTGGGGGTCATGGCCTGCAAGCCAGGCATGTGCCCTGACTGGGAATCGAACCTGCGATGCCTGGTTCGCAGCCCACGCTCAATCCACTGAGCTACGCCAGCCAGGGCTAAAAGATTATTTATTTATTTTTTTTAACTTGAATTTATTTGGGTGACATTGGTTCACAAAAAAGATTACTGATCTTATAAACGGAGAACTCACTCCTCATTTTAGATTCTGAGAAAATGAGAAATGCTGAATACTTGGGATATTTTTCAAAAAGGGCAGAACGTAGTGGTGGTATGTGTGGGCAGAGTGGCTACTCACCAAATACTTGCTGTCCTCACTAACTGAAAACAGAGTGAAGACATCTGCAACAGAGCATACAAAGAACTGGTCATATAACGTTCTTTCCCCCAAATGCAGAGGTAGACAGGAGGCCAACATAGTGCACAGTGGTGAGGACTGTGATGTTGTGAGAAAGCAAAAGCAGCCTCTCTCACTGACACACAGGAATTTGGGATTCGGGCAACGGGAAGTGACCAGTCAAGAAAGGCTTGAGTGATTTGCAAAGCACAAGAAGACTGTAGACCAGCAGAGGGGCACGTCAATGATTTTTTGTATGGAAGCGGGGGACGGAGGGGATGGTGCAGGGGTAGATTGGCCAGGCCAGCCCAGCACTGTCTAACATAATGTAAGCCATATATGTAATTAAAATTTTTCTAGTAGGCACATTAAAACAATAAGAAGAAACAGGTAAAATTACTTTTAATAATATATTTTATTTAACTGATATACCCAAAATATTATTCAACATCTTTCTATGACATATCTGAGATATTCAACATGTAATCAATATGAAGATTATTAATGAGGTACATTACATTGTTTTTTGTACTAGGTCTTCAAATCTAGTGTGTATTTTACACTTACAGCACATCCGACACTTACAGCAACACTTCAAGTGTTTAGTAGGCATGAGTGGCTCATGGCAACCACACTCACTGGGTGGTGCAGCTCTAGAGGTTCCACCATTAACTTCTCTGGGGGACAGAGGAGTGGGGAGAGACAGGTCTTGGCCAACAGGAACTGTCACCTCTGATTAATCTCTGCCCCTGCCTGAAAAAAAAAATCATTTCTGACAGATGGCAGCTTATCTACCTCTCACTCTATTAACTCTCTCTCTCTTAAAAACTACAAACAACCGAAATGATTACTAACCTGGATGGGGTTCTTGGAAAGAGGCCTGTAATCTGCTACTTCTGGGTTTTTCCTGGTTTGGGAACTGCCAACATTTTTACTTGCTTCCCTTAGTCTTTGCCGAGAGGGATAGAGGCAACCATTGAAAGACCCCTCCAAGGCCACGGCTGGATGCAGAGCTTCTTTTTCAGGCTTTTTCCTTGCTCCCTGGGCAGTGGTTCGAAAATCTGAAAAGGCAGCCTCCTTTTCCAGTTCTCTTTGCAGGCTGGCTGGCTGCTGGCTGGCAGAAGACCTCTGCTGGGCATGATCCCTGGGGGTGCAGAAACTCAGTGCGCACACACAGGAGATGGCAGGCTCCTGCCCATTCCAGGCCTCTATTATTTCAGCTCTCTGGCTTTATCTTTCACCTCCCCTCCTGAACAGATACCAGAAGAACACATCTTGAAGACCAACTGCCTTTCTCGGCTCCAACTGAATTGGGAAAGGGGGAAATAATTTAGAATTTATGAGGATCAGGTTAATCTACACAAGAAAGTCACAAGAGGGGAAATGGTTAATCTACACAAGAGGGGAAACTTCTGGCAGGATGTTCCCCCACATCTTTTCCACCATTTTCACTCTGAGACCGTTTATTCCTTTGCAGAAATCAGTTCACTCCATCCTGTGGGGTGCTTTCATGTTGTTTTAAGAATCCTCCAGTTCGGTGTCAAGTGTCTAGAGGACAGAGGAAGTGTTTGGCTTCTGGGTGAGCAGTACGAGAAGAAGCCTGGATCCTCTTTCCCTACTACTTACTATCCTTCATCCGGCTTCGCCCAAGAGAGGGTCAGGAACCAGATTCTGGGACACTCTGCCTTAGGAATTCCTTTCCAGTTTTGCTCTAGAGCTAAGAAAAAAAATCTACTTGAGG